CAGGTTGCGTTTTACTGAAATTGGGAGGACTGGAGATTGAAAACTGCTAATGATAAAAGATACTTAATAATTAGCACAGCTTTGCGCCACTGACGATGCGTCACAAAAATAGCATATCAAGCTAGCAGACAGAAAACAAATCCCCAAACCAAAAAAAATTCAAAGAAAAATCATAACAACACTTCCTCAGTCAAAACGTTTACACCTGTCTCGTAGAATGAATTTCAATTTAAAGGCATGTCTTCAAACAAAACGTAATAACCTTAACATTGTTTGGCGATTTTAGGCCCTTAACCTGAGTTTGATCTCGACTTTTTCGGGGCTTTCAGTCAGTTTAGAAGATTTACGCAAAGGTAACGACGGTTCATATTTCTGCTTAACCGGCTCAACTTGCACACCGTTACATTAACTCTCTTGAACTGATGAAATACCAGAAAACCATTAATCAAAATCAGATTTGGTTCCTTATTCTAACCAACAAGTTCTACCGAAGATTAAGTATAGTCCCAGTTTCCTACGCACATGTTTAATGGCACCAGTGTTTCATACAGGAAAAAGCAAAAAAAAGATATTGCAGCGAATATTTGATTCCGAGTGATCGAGAAAAACAATTAATTGGAACAACTAAGGCAATTTTTTTTGATAAAATAAATAACTTATTGGGACTTCATAAGTACAACTTTTGTGGGGCGAGAAAACAATTATTGAAACCACTTTTTGAACGCTAATTTGTGCGAAGACATAACTGCTCTCCACTTTTTATGCTGCGAAAATTATTTCAATTGCAAAGACGAGAGATAAACTTATTAAACGTTGTCAATTTTCCATTGCAAGCACTCATAATTTCTTTTGCTTTTTCGAGTTATAAGGTGTTTCTTCTTGCCAAATTTAACTACCTCAGTGGAAACTCGTAAAGTGTCAATTCTTATATGTGAAAACCTTTTCATTCGTGCTTCCAAAAAAGTAAACTCAGTGTAGATAATTTTTTTTCAGACAAATTTTAAATTTAAAAAAACCGGACAGATACTGATAAGATACTGGACTCAAAATTTAATTCTACCTGAATTTCAACGCTGTACACGGATGCAAAACGACGGGGCTTCGCACCACTCGCAATACAAATATGAATGAATTTAATTAGGTGAATATTATTAGATGAAAAATCTTGCAACTCAATAACTATGAAAGTAGAAAAAAGCTGAGCTATAAAAAATACGTTCTGTGGGAACTAAGCCGACAAAAACCAGCAGATAGACGATAGTATAAAATAGCCGATAATTTTCAGCTTGCAACAAATTGGTACAGATCGGACTCGAGCTCTAGGACTTCGACGCCTCAAGAATAGGTTGCGCAGAATGATCCTTCAATTTCAGTTTATAATTTAGCAAGTAAAAACATTTAGCGTTTTCACGTGCAATTTACTGAACAAAGTTTTTGTCGGGAAATAAATCTAGTATCTGGATGTAACATCCTAGTAAATGGCAAGGGTAATTAAATAGCTATCAGAGCACTTTTTCAATTGCCAATTATAAAAATAAATTGAGAAAATGGCTTTTACCTTTCCCCCACCTGCGAATTTTTACATGTAAGTTAAGTGTTCGCTTTATCCGATTGTTATAAAAATTGACATGCGGACAATTAAGGTCATGTTAAATAAGTGAGATTCGAATGCAAAACCCTCGTGTTGTGAGACGAGGGTCATACATTCGAATTTCACTTCGGTCACGGTTGGAGGGGTTCCAGTGTCATCCGTCTTTTCAAGGTGAGACTGGTTGCGGTAAAATGGATGAAACACCCTCCCCCACGGATGGTCCTGCACGGATGAGCAGGACCGGAAGCTAAAAAAAGTCCACGCAAGCATATTTGAAGTTTATTTGAAATATTTGATTTTACCAGCTTAAACGAAAGGGAGGTACTTTCCACCTTATAATATGTGGTAAGACCTGTAAATTTATGGCCCTTTCAGTTTTAATTGTTGAATGAGGAAATTTTATCGGCTACACAGACAGCCTTTTACTTTTCTTAACACCGTTGAACATTCTTTTTCATTTGTATACAACTTATACCTTATTTTTCATGCGACAGCAGAGATTAGTTGGCAACAAAATCGCAGTTCTACAGCAGATATTCTTCGCTTTAATTCAATATTTACCATTAGTTTAAATAATAGTGTTCAGTTTTGTCGTATTTATTGTACGTTGCGTATCCTTGAATAGGATTTTACAGCGTATTTGCAGGTGCTATTTAAACGGCAGCTCTGCTACCATCAACAAAGCTCTTTCTATAACTTTGTAGAATCAAAAATCCTGATTGACATAACTACAGTCTCAATTAGCTTCAATTTTTAATGTTTCCGATGGACAGTATTAAGGTATTTTTCATTTGTTGGTCAAAATTCCTCTTAGACGAAAAAAAACCTGCAAACTCCATGCCAAAAGCACTGCAAAGTATGAGACCAGATTAGCAACTAGACCTTTTGGCTCTTTTTCCAACCTTCCTCTTCCTCCCTCCTGAGGAAAAAGAGCTGACCTTTCTTTTCATCAAAGGCAAAATGGAAGGTGTAACTTTCTTTCATTTTAAAATCTAGATTAGAAGACTGAAGTCAAACCGATATCACTTAGGGCGATCCGTCCTTCAGCTGCATTAAAAAACGATATCAAGCTTGCTTTGAGACTTGTGCTAAACTAGCGCCTTTTGCATTATTTAGCGAATGGGAGAATCTCCGTGAAATACAGCATGTTTGAGATAATAATCCAGTTTATAAAGAATAGACAAACCACATGCCGGTCGGCTACCGCCTGTCGCAACTGTGGCGTTATTTCCCCATATTTGCCATACGCGCTCAAGTGACGTAATTTGCTCAACATTTGCTCAAAATAGCAACTCAAGATCATTTTAACTTGTTCCAAACAAGTCCATTGAGAAGCTGCCTCCTTTCAAATATGGTAATAAATGGTATGCTCCATTAAATATAAATAAAACGGAGTATAAATAAAAATAAGAAGGACACTTTTAAAAAATTTTCCGGCAGAGCTCTATGTCAGAGCGCGTGTCTCATTAACCAATTCTTACTAAAAGTGGGTTCCATAACTTGTTTGCTATAGAGGCAGCAACTAATTGTCAGACAAAACATATAAAAAAGGTATTTGTGTCCACTTCACTCTGTGACAGCTGCAAATAATAGAAAAGTCCAAGCGTCAAGTCGCCGAAAAACACATTCAGCACACCTATAAAAATATACGAAATCCAAAAAAAAAAATGAAACACGCTGAAAATAACTAAGTGAACCACAATTTTCGCATGTCTCGAGAAAAGATAATTAGGGGCCCAGTTGAAGCTGGAGGTACCTGTCTGATTTTTTTAGATTTTTTTTAAATATTGATGCGGGATGAAATGAGTAATTTCACAAACTTGACCTGGCCACAATCTTAGCTGCCTCTACTAAAACAAGTAAGAGCAACAATTTTTGATAAATTGAAATTTTCCCAAGGACAACATTTTTCTTACAAAACTAAGGTGTCGCCACTTCTGCAGGAAATATTTACACTACCTGTTATTTCGATTTAAGCTTTCATCTCAGATTTGACAGTAAACGGTCAGAAGTTCAAAAACTTTATTTCTGCAAAAGAGCAGGTCGTGGCCGCTTAAGCTGAGAATACTCCCAAAACCGGGTTTCTCGATTGAACAATTAACCTGTGAATTGGCCGGGTACTTTTTGAGAAAAGTCGATTCGTTTTTTAAAAAATTAGTTTAAAAAAATTACAAAATTTTTTTTTCCAAGGGCCAGGGGCGGATCTAGGATTTTCTCGAGGGGGGGGGGGGGGGGGGGGGCGGATTTTCAAAAAATTTTGACGACCTTTTTTTTTTTTTAGGTCGATCAGATTGATTTTCCGAGCTCTCCCAAAGCAATAAAAAGACCCTGTTTTGGCCAAATTTTCTGCGCCGCAGGCAATTTTTTTGAAAAACCAGGTCAAAAAAGCCGTTTTTGGGCACTTTTTGGAAAATTTTGACAAAAAAATCGCGTTTTTTTTGGCGCGCGCTCCCCCTCAAAATAAGTATATATTGGCGCCGAAGGCGCCTTTAGAAAAATTTTAGGGTCGGTCGGCCAAAAGGCCAAAAATGGATTTCTTAAAAAGTACCAAAGGGGGGACCCTTTGGGTTGGCAGGGGGTCGAATCCCTGAGCCCCCCCCCTAAATCCGCCCCTGCCAAGGGCCAAAAGTTTTTGTATAAAAAAGAGTGCGTAGCCCGATTATGCAGATGAGCACCAAATAACCTGTTAATTCGATTAAAACCAACATCTCAAATTTGTTAGAATCGGGTTTTTTGAGGTACGTCAAAGTTTCAAAAAACGGCCAAAAAACTAAAACTTTGTTTTTCCGAGGGCCATAACTTCTAGTGCTAAAAAATTTGGGCAAACAATTACCCTTAAAGCTCACTATTTCTAGAACAATTCTAGAACAATTTCTAGAATTTCTAGAGTTTCTAGAACAATTTATGATTAACACTTCTTAAGAAAACTGGATCACTAAGTAAAATTTTTATTTCGCGGCGAACTCAGAAAAACAACTTCCTCTTGCGGAACTAGAAATCAATCACGTTTTTTGTGACCTTAACACTTTCGCTACCGCGAAGAAGAAAATTTGAGCCTGAACAAATTTTAAGACTTATCCTCCAAAAAACTTGATCCCATATTAACTCAAAACACCAGTTTTTATCAAAAAGACGTTTTCAGGCAATTTTGACAAAAAAATGCGTTTTTGGCGCGCTCGCCTCTTAAAATTAGTTACTAGTGACGTAAGAAATATTTCAGGGTCGGTCAGCAACAAAAGTGTCGGATAAAACATGTTCAAAAATAGAATGCCCCACGGCACGCAAGACCCACTAGGCCGTGGTACACTCGAATGATTTTGACTACATGTGACTACAATAGACTATTTATTTCTCTATATTTCCAAGTAAAAAAATTGTACATAATCAATTTAGAAAACGCCAATCAAGCAAGAAAATTAAACTCTAGGTTTGATATGATAACAATAAATTTAATAACCAGAATAGAATTCTACAATCTGCCAGAAGATTGTGTAATAAACTGAAACTATGAATATCAAAATTAAAACAATTCAAAGCAAAAATTATGCAAATATTTAGTTGAAATAAATCATTCGACCTTTCAGAAACTGTAATTATTGCTAACAGGTCAAGACATCAACAATTTACCAGTCATTTTGGTGAAAAAAGCAAATAGTGCACCCCATTCTTTTCAAAACTGAATTTTAAAAATTTATCTCCGTAATCGTGAAAGAAATGTTTCTCATTTGAGCAAAGAAAATTTGTCAAGTAAGCTGTGAAAATGCAGATTTACTCGAATGTTTGGCTTTTAAAACCAGTTTAGAAAAGAACTAACAGTCAATGAGCTTTAAAAAAAGGTTAATCTGTGACGCTGAAGGGCGCTGAAATCGATGACCCAATATTCTGCTGGTAGTTAGGGCAAGTAGGACACCTAGGTCGAGGAGGAGACGAGAAGAAGAGCGAGCCTCTAGGTCGGTGGTGCGGTGAAAAAGACGTCTGATGGTGCATCGTGGGTCTACTAGAACCTAACCCCATGCCCGGTCCTCCAATTGGAATCCCATGGAACACTGTAAGAGGGTGCGAGCTGTTACGATTGGGATGTACCCCATAAGGAGGCGGCGCCCCCAGACATCCGTGAGGTGCCCCCAACCAGTTCGGGGGGCCAAACGTGTGGTGACAATACGAATTCGGATCAAAGCGCCGCCCACTGAAAACCTGCTTGTAGTTGTACTCTCGCAAGTAGTCTTTAAGCTGGGCCGGGACCTCTAGATAAGTTATTGCATCGTAACCGACATGGTCACACACAGCTGCTCGGGCTAACGCCTGAAAAATTTATATTTTTTAATGCAACAACATGTACTTCAAAGACACGTGACACAAGGTCGAGTGGTTCATCATATCGAAGCTAATTCTTTCACATTTGAAGTTTTGTCAGAAATTTTTCAATCAACGTTTCGATTGTCGTGACTCAATAGAAATGTAAAAATTGTGAAACAGTTTTCTCGATGTCAAAAAGAGGTTAAATTTCTTTGTTAACTCAAGACTGAATTTTCACTTGTTTCGAGGTAAATTATGTTTAAAAAATAGTGGTCAGAATATCCAGTTTTGCTTGGACAGCAACCAACTAGTGTTGCTTTTAACTTTCGATTTGGACCTTTAACTTTCGACCTTTATTTAGATTTCGCTAAAGCTGCTTCTGCAAAACATGAAAATCACTTTTGCGCATTCATAAAAACCACATTAATTCCAAGCGTGTTGTATATTAAAGCTTATCGCTCGAATAATTATCCATTTGTAACCATTTTATTGTAAGCTACGAGAACATCCTTCTCTAGTATGCTGCATATAATCTATAACGGTTCTGCTCCATCAATTTGAAAGGTGTAGCTAAGACATTGGTAAATGTTTGCCTTCAAAGAGAATGGCTGTTTCCGTTTCTGCGGCAAAGTCAACAGCGGCTCAAAGAACAACGAGCTCTCTGGGACTTTGTAGTGTTCAAGAAGTCCATTAATGGTTCTGCTTTGATACACATTGGGATCATGAGAGTCTAGACTGAAGTAATGCTTGTGTTGCTCTATGCGCGCGTGAAGAGTCCTCGAATAGCGTCTGAAACTGATTGAGAAAGTGAAGTCGTCCTGGACTGAGTCTCTAAGTAGGAATGCACCTTCTGCTTTGCCGTTCAGAAGAATCTCCGCCTCATGTCTATCCATTTTACCCCAGTAGAATGAACTTAAACAACACTATTTGAACCGACACGCCGTGAGAATCTTTGTGTACACAAGCACGGTAGATATAGATACTTCTCTGAGGAGGAGGGGAATTCTTTGCCGCAATAAACGTATACTTGCCAACTCCCTGTCTTACATACCATTACACATAAATGCTGTCCAGAATTCATTAGGTTTGAATCTTATGATTTGACACTAATTGGAGGGTCAGTCTCCAATTGCAATTGTTCTCATCAACAACTACCATAGGACTTAATTATCAAAATGCTAACTACGACAGTGTTGTAATTGAAACCCTAATTCACGTTAAAAATGATGTTTTCAAAAACTATTGAAACAGAATCCGTACCTTTTGACAATATTCTGCTGATCTGGTATGAGAAAGTGGATATATTCTCGTTGGGTGAAAACCTTCGATGGCCTGAAACATTAAAATATAGTCAACAGTCTGAAAGAAACACATGGAGTTCAGAAAAGGCCAAAAACTCCTTATTTTCAAATTAATTAAACGAATGAGGATCTCTCTGAAATAATTTCAGTAAAACCAACTTTTTGGGTGAAGAAACCTTCACACAGTCCCTTAACGCGCCATCCAGAAAATTTTTAGTCCCTTGAACTACAATGAACAACACTTGCACTTGCAATTAAAATAAAATAGCACTATAGCACATTAAAAACCCGTGAGGTGGCAACGAAGCCTATAAATCTTTCAAGAGACACCAGTTGAGCCAAAAAAAACTAATTTTATAAAAAAAAAATTGAAAATTTTCAAGTCCAACTGAAACTACTTTGAGCAACACTAGCATTTGCAACTACAATGAAAATTGCTTACAGAGCTAGCGAAATCCGTGTTGTGGCAACTAATCCTCAAGGTGGGACTGGCTGCGGGTAAATGGATGACAGTACCCTCCCCCACAGTTGGTCCTGCATTGAGCAGGACCGGGGGCTAATTTTAAAAAAAAATGTGGCAACTAAAGCCGACAAACGAAAGACCGACCATTCAATTTTTACCGGAAAGAAAGGTCTAACAGGCACTTGAACCCCTGACCTTAAGGTGCAAAGACAACGGTGTTACCTCTAGGCCAATGGTGAACAAACCAGCAATTTGTTAAGCTTCACTAATAAAGCAAGTAAGATTTGTAAAACAAAAACTTATTTACGGGGAAAAATACTTTTTCCCAATTACAAGACATCTCGAAAAAAAGAATAACTATGGAAAATTAAATTGGAACAAATTTAAATTGTTTTGCAAAATTGAACTCAACACCTAAATTCGAGATGGACAGTCATTCATCGCCATAGACTCCGTTGCTAAATCTTTCACTAACTCGACAAAAGAGTGAAAAATTACAATACTGACAAAACCACACTTTCCTACAAAACGGAAAAATTGCGCTTAATGTGTTCCAAAATTAAATATACCACAAAGATGGTGGTTTCCTAAAGATAATCAACTAATGCGTGAATCAATTGCATACTTTATCAAAGAACTTAGAAAATGAAAATACTCTGCCTTTCTCTTGTTGAAGCAAAAACCAGCTACTCAAAATTATTTTGAAGGCTCTTTCAGTTCGGCTACTTATCGGGACAGATGGACCAAATTCAGCACCAATTGCCGAAGAATATGAAAAAAAACGAAACAAACTATTAAAGGATCGTCAAAAAAGAACTCGGTTAATTACCGTATACAAAAAAACTTGCAAAACGGCTATCAAATCTGCTTCTATTGAGCAATTGAACATACAAGAGACCATAAAGTAAGTTGATTGAATTTCACAGGAAATCAGTTGAAAAACACATTTTTTAACACAATAGCATTTAATAATCGTTCCATATATCTATACCTAGTGACACAACTTCCAGATCAACCTTCGAACCAGCTTATCGTTAACAACTGACGAAAAAAGCCGACATAATTACAGACAAAAAACATTTAAGCGAAAAAATTATATTCAACAATAAAGAAACATAGCCCAATGACAGTTGGGAAAAAGTAAAGAACGCAAGGTGACAAAAACAATACTGGAAAAAATGACTTGAAAAACTTTAAGCTCTTTGATTTTCAAGAACATTTTATGGCTGATAATTTTTTCTATAATGAATCCAATTTGAAAGAACTGGATCAAAAGTAAAATGTTTATTCTGCTGGGAAACCTATAAATTAAATTCCACTTTCGAAAATAGAAGTCGTTCATATTTTTTCGCGCCAATTTCACGTTCCTATTGGGAGAGTGCAATTTACCTAACGTTCAAAAGATGAATTTCAATTAAACTCAAAAAGAGCATGTATACCTAAGTGCATTCATAAATGAAGATTCTTGGGTAATTAAGAATTTCAAAACTTTTTTCCTGAAACAAACAAACAAACAAAACATCATCAAACCTATTTTATAAGTCTTTACTACGCTCATTACTCTTAATAATTTCAAACTAGATTCTCACGCACACAATTGTTCAAAATCTAGCCGGCTTAAACTGAAAACTTGAAGAACATTTCTGGAAAACATGCAGATTTACTTTGAGCCGAAAATCAGTAGATTGACAGAAACTTATACAAAAAAGTATAACAGAATGACCTCAAATAGAAAAATATATGGCTTGAAAAGTGTACAAAACACGAACAAAAATGATTTAAAATTTTGCACATAAAAAATAATAAAAAAACTTCTACACTTTAAAAATAAAATTTCCAAAAAAAAACTTTCTTCTCAGCAAAAAAAAGCTTGGAGCTCAATGACCTTCCTCACATTAGGAATGCTAGAAATGGGATTCAGAACAAATACAAAAGTTGAATCTTCAAAAATTGTCTCTGCTGCGAAAAACAGGCCGACAAAAAAATAAGCAGACAGAAAATAGTCCCAGTTAAATGACAAAAAGCTGAAAATTTTCAAATTGCGAAAAAAACAGGCCCCTCTTGTACTCAAACTTCCTGGCCTTTGTCTTCTTAAGCATAAGCGTTACCTCTGCACCAAATATTAATTTATTATTAGGCAAGTTGTAACATATGTATCTTTCTCACTTGCGAATTGTGTGAACAAGATTTTAGCAGAAAAAGTAAGTACCCGGTTAAAGTGCTCTTGCCAATCCCAATCTAAAAATATCCACAAAACTTACATAGTATCGCCGGGTATAAACCGAAAGGGAGCTGCGTGAGGGTGATAGTGCATGTCTGAGAAGGCACGGTGTTGCTCGCACTGACACAGTCGCATAGCAGAAGCAGCAGATGATCCTGTTGTCGCATTTACAGACGAATAAAGTGAAGAAGGATTAGGTGCGAAGGCGGCGGCATGAGTTGCATGGCTGTTGTTTTGGTGATTGGGTAGAAACGCGAAGTTTCCGATCGATCGAGAGCTTGGCAAAATTGAGTAGAGAATGTTGTCGTCATCCGGAGGCCGAGCATGAATACCCTAAACCAAATTTAAACCAATCAATGAAAAGAATTGTTTCGAGTTAATCAGTTCTCGCTATGATAATTAAAGTTAGATCCAGGGTTACAAATGTACTTTTGATGAAAACTCAAAAATCTGCTCACACGCTTGGTAAAGCAAACCTAAACGGCAAGAACCACAACAACGACCAGCTGCTTTTTCTTCACAATTATGTAAATTCAAAACAACCACTTGGTTAAATATACACGCTGCTACAAACAAAAATGAAATTATCATAATGCATTAAAAATTATCACTCCATTTTTCGAAAAGACTCATCGCATTAGGCGTGACAAGATGAAGTACTCTTTTTTGAAGAAGTCTACGGAAAGAGTTAGCATTCGCTACGGAAAATCCATCAAAGTTTGCAATCAGATTAAACCATAAATATACATTCCAAACTTCAAACACGCCTATCCACAAATGAGCTGCAAACATTGCAAGAGAATGTGATTCGCTGAAACTTACATTGCGAATTAATAAATTCTGATAAGGGGCGTTTGTAGTATGTGAAACGGGAGCTGCTGAAATATTTTGGTGTCTGGATCCGACGTTCTCTCGAAAAGGAGACAGTGATTGCACTAGGGGCCCAACCCTGGATGTTGAAGGCGCTTGGTCACTCGAATGCTGAGGACTGCTAGTAGTTTCATTCAAACAACGAGTTGTTCCAGCAAAACTTCTTCTGTTGTGACTGCTGCCAAAGAAAGGCGACCGCGACCTATTGCTTGAATTTGCGTGGAAAGAATTGGAAGCTCTGAGATTTCTGAAACAATTTCACTGAGTAATAGTTATCCAAAATGAAAAGAAAACTGACAAGAAACTCACCCCGAAAATCGAACAGCTTGTAAACCGACATCCGCTAACTGATCCTCGGATTTATTGTTAAAACAGCATAAAGTTTTCATTTATATCACTGAAAATTAGCTTATGTAACAAACATTTACTTAGGTCTCATATGATATTTTTAAAAAAAGGAATGTCGATCTTATTTCTATCATATTTTCTTATAAACAGAAGGTCTAAAGTATCATGAAAATCCAGGTTACAGTCAGGAAGCCCTTCATCACATATTCAATCAAAATCCTAGGAATTTTCTAGATATGGTAGTGATAATTAAAACAAGATGATAACGGTTGATATGATTTAAACTAAACATGATACTGGTTACGTTTTTTCATTGGGAACGCGTTACTCGACACGAGAAAAAAAACAATATATTTTGAATTACAAATAAAAAATTTCGTCGAAAGTTGTTTTTTCTATCATTGTGCCGAATCTCAAAAGCCACAGGTTGAAAAACATACATCATCTACGAAGTCTTTATAATTGTCATTTTTTTCTTCCGCTTCTGCGGCCGCCGTACCAGGGTTTCAAACTGACTCCCGAACTAATCCTACTGGTGGCCTGGGAGTCTACTGCCATTACGTCCCACAGCAGCTGCTTAACAACAGCCCATGGAACGAACGGCAAACAGTCTGGTCGCTGCTGATCGTCTTGTAGAGATATCGCGGCTTTAAAACGAGGAATAAGAATAGAAGATAAGCCATGCCATCCATCTTCGGTTATCTCTTTTCCGCAGACGCATTTACTCTGTGCGCCAATTCTAGAGCCTAATCGACCCTATCGCGATTTTTGCACATGATGACGTTCAGCCATTTGGAACCACATCTATCTTGGAACGCGATGAATTTTTGTAAACTCATTGGTTCAAATTTTTAATTCAAGCCTGCAAGTTCGCTGGCTCGGATATCGTTTTTGAAGTCAATTCAACTTTTCCACGATCAAACTACCGTTTGAGCGCATCAGTTGAAGTTCCATTATTATACTCCAAACCAAAATTTTCGCTTAGAGCATTATTCAATATTTGTGCTGAGGCTAAGAAAGCAGGTAAAGCTAGTAGACGAGCGGAAGAAACGCCACACGAACATAGATTGCCGTGAGGACTGCTTGTAAAAACTGATTATCTTTTTTCGATGATAATGATCTTGCATAACGAGTGTTTTAGGATTCTGTCTTAGCGATCCCATAAATCATACTAGCGTTTAACGCACCTTCGGTGCTTCGAAATTTTACGACAGCTCATAAAAAACCGCATATATTGGAAACAACATCTGCGAACTTTTAGTATAATCTGACTGCACCCAATTACAGGGTTGGTAACTTCGAACTTTTACATTTTTTTAATTCCCATTTTAAAAGCGTCATCTCGAAAACTTAATGTGCCTCTGGAGAAATTTGGAGGCCAGATTTGCAACCACTATGAGCATTCTATTATAGGGTTAGGAATCCCAAAATTTTGAGAATTTTTTTAAACCTAAGTTTCCCGAAAAAAAATGAAAAAAAAAAAAAAAAAAAAAACGTTTTTATCTCGGGAACTAAAAGGATTTGAGCATTCGTATTAAGAGGCAAGATTTGAGACGCCTGGGTGTTCGCTGACATTAAGGTTGCATCTTCATCAAGTTAGTATTTTCAAATTTTTTGAATTTCTTTGTAGATAAGTTCTTCGAGAAATTTTGAAAAAGTCAAAAAACGTCAGATCTCGGAAACTAAAAGCATTAGAGCAGTCGCATTTAGCAGTCGCTTGTGGCAAGATTTGCAACTCTTTAGAGTACCCTGACAACACCGAACTATAGCGTTGGAAATTTCAAATTTTGAAAAAATAATTAATTTAAACTTTCTGAAGTTTTCAGAACATTTTTGGAAAAATCACAAAAAAAAAAATATCTCGAAAACTACAAAGAATTGAGCAGTCATACTTGGAGGTAAGATTCGCAATCTTTGAGATTACTCTGTCAAGACCTAACTAAAGGGTTGGGAATTTCAGATTTTTAAAAACTAATAATAATTTAAGTTTTCTGAAAAATTTTGAAAAAATCACAAAAAAACGTCATATCTCGAAAACTACAAAAAATTGAGCAATCATATTTGGAGGCAAGATTCGCAATCTTAGAGATTACTCTGACAGGACCCAACTACAGGGTTGCGATTTTCAGATTTAACTTAAAAAAATTAATAACTTTTCTGAAATTTTTTTTTTAAATCACAAAAAACGTCATAGCTCGAAAACCACATAGATTTAAACAGTCATATTTGAAGGCAAGATTTGTAACTCCTTACAGTACTCTGACAGCACCCAATTACAAGATTGGGAAACTCAAATTTTGAGAAATAAGTAAATAAATTTTTCTGAAAATTCTTGAAAAAATCACAAAAAATATCATATCTCGAAAACTACTAAGAATTGAGCAGTCATATTTGGAGGCAAGACTCGCAATCTTTGAGAACACTCGGACAAGACCCAACTACAGGGTTGGGAATTTCAGATTTTGCGAAAAAAATTAATATAAGTTTTCTGAAAAATCACAAAAAACGTCATATCTCAAAAACTACAAGGATTTGAACAGTCATATTTGGAGGCAAGATTTGTAACTCCTTAGAGTACTCTGACAGCTCCCAACTACAGGGTTGGGAACTTCAAGTTTTGTAAATTATTTTGTTATTGAAATTTCTGAAAATTTTTGAAAAAATCTCAAAAATCGTCTTATCTCGTTAACTAAAATGATTCGGGCACTCAAATTGGAGGCCAAATTCGCAACCCCTAATTCGATATTGGGCTGCTTAATTTAAACTCGGTAAAATAACCACTAAAATCAAATTCGAAAATCGAAAAAAAAAATCTTAACCATTGCAATATACGATATTGCTTAAACATGCAAAAATAATACGTTGAAAAAGCTTAAACATGGCGAGATAGTGAAGCCCGCATTTAAGAGTTTTGTGGTGCTAAGGCAACGTTTCAATAAGTAAACCATAGTGAGCGTCTTAATCGTCAATGTTATCCGAGATTTTGTTAAGCTCCTTGATTTAATCATCGAACAATTCTTTACGGCAAAGTTCGCCGATTGGAGATCCTATTATAACAAGTTCTTTTTTGTTCTGTTTTACAAAATTGCGCAAAAATTGAATTGCAATGAGTACCCGAGGTCGGCCATAAAGCACAAAAGTCGCGTTTTTCAGTATTCAAATTCAGGCCGTAATTTTTTTCCGATTTCAGAAAGTTTTCAAGTTCCAAAATATTACCTTTAAAACGTTGGCTAAGTTTCTATCCTCTGAAACACCATTTGCCATTTTTATAGTTGATCCTTCAAAAAAAATAGGTCTAGAAAAAGAGTCCAAAGAGCAGTCGCAAACTTTTTACAGCGTTTTTTACTAGATTTTTTTTCTCTTTTCTGAAAATTGAGTCGAAACTTCAAAAAAAGGAAGTAAAAGCAAAAAAAAATGAAAAAGCAGAAAAATAACGAACTCTTCGAAAATTGAAATGAATCAACACAACTCATTGATTCTGAAATAGTGTGAGCGAATTCGAATAACAATTTTTCATTCGAGTAAAAAATTGTTCTGCGCGGTTATTTACGTGTATTTTGTAAAACAGCCGCAGCTGAAATATTTTGATGTTTGGATCCGCAGTTCTCTCAAAAAGGCGACAGTGATTCACTATGTGCCCAACACCGAGGGTTGAGGCCGCCTGGTCATTTGAACGCTGATGACTGCTAAAAAGTTCTTTCAAACAACGAGTTGTTCCAACAAAACTACTTTATAGTGAATGTTAACAAAAAAAGGCGATTGAGACCTAATGCTTGAGTTTGCGTGAAAAGAAATTCCTGAAATAAAAGACTGATTGAGAAATATCTTTAATAAAATAAAAAACTGTTTCATATATTTATTGTTTAAGCAGTATAAATTTTTCAAATATATCACTGAAAAATTCGCGAAAAACTATGTTATTCAAACCAAAAATATAATTTGAAAAAGAACAGTCAAATACAAGGGTCAAATACAGTCTGAGCACATTTCGGATAGGGGCCTGCCGACGCTAATTTTCTGCATCTATTCACCTAAATTACTCAGATTCCTTGATTTCTCCTACTGATCAAATTTCTACTGGTCCTTAATTATTCCTACTGATTTTGATTTCTATTACTTATCGAATGAGTTGAGTAAAATACAAACTATAACGGCTTCCTCGAAAGATGATGAAAATCATAATCAATGGTTGATTGTGAATTAATTTTTTTTTATTAATCCTAGTGATTAGGCAATCAATTTATTCCTCAACCTGCCATTAACTGAGTCTTCTCATCAATCGAAACTCTGAAAAAAAAAAACGAGAGCTATAGATTTCCACTGGTGCGCTCAAATGTTAACATATTTATCCTCAACTAACTGATTCTTCGACTAACAACCTTTTTGGATCAAAACGGACTTCTAAATCCTTAGCTGGTGTGAAGGCTGAATTGATCTAAAAAATGTCGAAAGCAACAAAAACGGGCAATGCGTCTGCATAGTACCCTTGTGGTGAATGCAAAAACGAATGTACAGATAACTCTCTCAGTGTATCCACTGTGGAACTTCGTTTGATGGTGGTACCTGCTCAAATGTACCATTAAACTTGCGTTCATCAATTGAAAATATAAGCGGACTTCAGTGGCTATGTCCCAACTGTGCAGTTGAAGGGAAGGTGTTACAAGAGGAGTGGAAAACGATCGCAAAAGTAACGGAAATCGAGAAAAAATTAGCAGAAAACTCTAACTCACTGCAAAAGATCTCTGTAGCTATCGACTAACCAATAGACTCAAAGCTAGAGTCCATGCGGAACACTTTCGAAAAAAAAAACAAGACAACATTCTTGCTAATTAAGTCAAAATTCCTCAAGAAATAAAAATGTCATGGAACATGCGAGAAACTCTGGAGCAACCAGGAAAAGAAAAAAGGCAGAACGATAAAAGAGAAGCAAAAGTGGTCGTATTTAGAGTACCTGAGAGCAAAAAACTGATTGCAAAACAAAGACAAGACAATGATTTATCCTTCTTCGCTGATTTCTGTCGAAATGGACTCCAATGCCAAGAAATCACAGT